ACATATATATATATGTATATATGTATATATATATTGAATCAAACACTTTTTTGTACTTATGCTGGCTCTCTCAAAATATACAATTAGGCAATGAAAATTTAATAAATATCTAAGTGTGTAAGAAGAATACATTAAAATAGAAAGGTTTTAACTAAAGTTTTGTTTAATACACCTAGGGCTCTGCTAAAAAAATACATAAAGGCTCTGTGTGTGAATTTAAAATGTTATAAATAAAGGATCATGTGAAAGATGAACAGATAACTTACCTTGTATTTTTAAATACATTTGAAAATATCTTTCTTTTAATTAATTCCAGATAACATATTTTCTCACTGAAATACTGCTATACATTAATGCACGATTTGTTATTACATTAGGAGGAAACGTCAGTATTTCCTCATTCATATTAACATCTGGATTTATATTTATTAAATGATCTGAGGATATTAACATTAATAATAAAAATCATATCTAGATAAAGCTGCCTTCACATTTACAGACATATGACATCATCCAATAGCTAGCTGACACTCAGGTTATTTTTTTATTATTGAGAAATGATAATTAATAGAATCTGTATACAAAATATAATTTTAAGAGCAATTATACACGTTTCTAGAAAGTTATTATATAAAACATTATGTATTTTTTTTCTTATAAGAAAAATTCCTATTTCATTTCTTTACTAATTACCAAATATTTTAGTAATTCTTCATTGTGCACTAAAAACATATGGTTGCTTTGCCTGGTATTAAAGCTTTCCTTGATCTTACTCCAATTTGCTTTTATAACATTTTCTTCCACTATTTCAATGTATCACATTCTTCATCTAAACCAAATTTGTCCTGGTTCTCCATATATGTTCTGAATTATTCCTCCTATTGTCTTTTCCCCCTAGTTTCCAGCACTTAGAATATTTCCTGAACTGATCTCTGCATGTCTGAACCAACCTGTCATTTTAAAGGCAGTATTAAATCTAACTCTTCAAGGAAGTCTGTTCTCAAGGAAGCCACTGAAAAGAAAATTCAGAAGAGATACAGATTTTTTGGCATTTATCTATAGTTTTCTCTAAACTTTTCAAGACATCAATTTTATCTTGTAATTTTAGTTAGTCACTAATTTTTAAACATGTGTTTATTAAACACATGGCAAGCAGGGTGTTAGTGACATATCTCGAGTAGATGCTGGGTAAAAGGAATATAAGGGAGTACATTTTCTGGTGAGAATTAAAAATTATTAGCAAATCGACTAGATTTTTTCCCCTTTTTATTATCACTATATGTTAGCAATTCTAAACAGTAGCAGTGCCAAAATACAACTGCCAGAAAAGGTTTTTGTTTGTCCAAGATCTAAATAATTGCTGTAGTTACCACCGTGTTTCTATTATGTATATGTATACATATATATATAGTCAGCCTCCAACACACATGAACTAACTCTTCAAGGAAGCCTGTGCTCAATTTCCCACTAAAATTTCCCACATCAGCTACACACGTGTTCTAAGAGCAAGTTCCCAATGACTTGGAATCATTCAAAATTTAAAACAGTGAAACATAGTGCAGACTGTGAGGTGTGATACCTTGTTTGCTTTGTGCAAATTTTAGTTCATAAATGAAATATGTTCTTTAATTTGGATGCTTTAAAATTTCAAAGTTACTCTTTTCAAAATTTTTGTTATAACCCTAAAGAACAACCCAATAAAGTGTAATTATTAACCAGTAATTATACGGAGAGCTATTCCTGAAAATAATTCTGTTGTTTAGCAGAGAGGAACGTAAAACATGATTAACTCTGGGTGTCATGGTACACCCTTGGTGTGAGGTGCTAAAGCTAGAAAGATAGGTAGAGTCTCCAGTCTTGAGGACCTTAATTGCCTTTTTAGCTCTCCCCCAAATCTAAGAGGTTTCTGAGATTTGCTTTGTAACTATCATTATATCATCTTAAAAATTGGATGTCCCTGTCACACATCATGTTAATACTGAAAGGGATCTCTCCCTCCTCCTCCCCCTTTCTTCAAGAACAGCAACTATTTAGATGACTTTCAATTCTCCTGTTTGAAGTAGTCATTTAGATGCTTTTCGGGAATTTAATTTAACTTTCAGAGATAAAAGAAACATTCACAAGGCAGTTCCTAAATATTCAGACTGAAATTTGACAGTGAACTTTGTATATTAGCTTTACAGATCATAGATTACATGAAGGATATAATTTTTTATAGAGTTTATATTTAAAGATAAATACATTAATAGAAATAGTGGTCCCAAAGGTAATTTTGTAAATCAAAATTAAGTACTTAATATACCATGAAACAGTCTCATTATATTTATTATAAGCATAGCAGATCTAGTTGAGTCAAACAAAAAGTCATATTAATTTAGTGTTCATAGGGATATATTAAATTAAAAATAATAACTGTATCTTTGTATGGTGAATTATTTAATAGTTTGACCATGTTGGGTTGTATGACAGAAGAAAACTAAAAATTACTAAAGACTGGCAACAGTGAAAAATGACAAAAGCAGGCTTAGAATTCTGAACACAGTTTTTCAATGACTATCAGGTAGAAAGAAAGAGAATCCTTAGAGTAGTCAATGAAAGGAGATAGAAGAAAACAGCAAACAAAAAAAAAACAAACAAAAAATAGGAGATCTCTTCCAGAAGATTCACAAAATGAAAAGGAAAATCAAACCTAAACTAGAAATGCTAAATGCCCACAAGAGAGTGCATTATCAGACCAGGAGAAAATAAACGAAAAATGGAAACAGTATACTGAAAACCTATACGGGAGAGACAAAAGGATGACATAACACTACAGAAGATTTCTATGAGGAAGAACCTGTAATTCTAGAAAGACAAGCGAAAGCTGCCCTGGAAATATTGGGAAGAAATAATCAGGGTTAGATAGGATACCGACAAAATTATGTCAAGCCACAGAGACTGAATTTGTCAAAATTCTAACAAGAAAATGTCAAGAAGTTGGAAAAGAAAACAATGGCCTTAAACAATGTTTAATATAGATCCCCATTTTCAAGAAAAGGAATGCCAAGGAGTGCAGTAGCTATAGGACCATTGCTCTCATTTCCCACACAAATAAGGTGATCGTCAAGGTGATGCAACAAAGACTTCTACCTTATATGGAGCAAGAAGTGCCAGGTGCTCAAGCTGGATTCAGAAAAGGAAGGGGCACCCTAATTGCAAGCATTTGTTGGATACTGGAGAGCTCCAAAGAATTCCAGAAGAAGGTTAGTCTATGTTTTATAGACTACAGTAAAGCCTTTGATTGTGTGGATCATGAAAAGTTATGTATGACTGCTTCAAAAGAAGTGGGCATGCCTCAGCATTTAATCATCCTGATGTGTAACCTGTATTGTGGCCTGGAGGCCACTGTCAGGGCAGAACCTGGAGAGACAGAATAGTTTCCTGGCAAAGGTGTCAGACAACGGTCCATTTTATCTCCCTATTTGCTTTATCTGTATATGCAGAATGAAAAACTGGACCTTACTCAGAGGAAGGAGGAGTGAAAATTGGAAGAAATACCAATAATGTAAGATACGCAGGTAACACCATCTCACTGAACAGAAAGTAGCAGCGATTTGAAACATTTTCTTATGAAAGTGAAAGTAGAAAGTGCCAAAGCGGAACTCCACTTAAACATCAAGAAGAGAAAAATCCTGACTACAGAAGAAACACACAATGCCAACATGGGCATTGATGGCATTGAAATTGTTAAAGGTTTGCTTACTTTGGCTCAGTCATCAATTTAAATGGAGGCTGCAGCCAAGAAATCAAGAGAAGGCTGAGACTTGGAAGGGCAGCAATGGAAGAATTAGGAAAAATCTTCAAGAAAAAAAGATATGTCATTAGAGACCAAGGCTAAGATCATCCACACCCTTGTATGTTCAGTTACTATGTATGAATGCAAAGGGTGGATAAAGAAGGCTGATAGGGAAAAAAAAAAATTCACTTGAAATACGGTGTTGGAGGAGAGCTCAACAGATAGCCTGAACTGCCAGGAAGACCAACAAATGGATCCTAGAGCGTTGTCCTACTTATGGGTCATCATGAGGAAGCAGGGTTCTTTGGCAAGGACAGCAATACTGGGGAAAATAGAAGGCAGCGGGAAAAGAGAAAGGCGAAATGTGAGATGGATTGACTTTATAAAAGAAGCCGTAGGCACGAGTCTACAGGAGCTGAGGAGGGCTGTTGAGGACAGGACATTGTGGACATCACTCACTCATAGGGTCACCAGGAGTTGGAGCTGACTCAGTGGCATGTAACACACATAAATCTGTTTATTCTATTTAATTGATTTAAATGTTTATGTTTTACTAAATATCTAAAAAGTATTTTAATTAAATATTTCAGAGTAAAATAAAACATGGGAAAACAAGGTTGCTTTTACATGTATGTTATTATGTATATGTTTATGTTGCCTTGGAGTTTAATTAGTAGGGTGCTAAATTTGGAAAAGATTATTTTTAAGTCTATACTGAGACCTATTTCTAAGGATGCAAATATTGACCTAAATCATATGCATAATATACAAGTCAGTGCTAGCATTTATACAAGTTTAATATACTTAAACACTTAATACGTTTTTCATTTAGTCATCAAAATAATCATGTTTAAAAGCATTCGTTATGTTTTATCTATGAGAAAACAGAGACTTGGAGAAGTAAATAGCTTTTTTAGGTCATTGAGCAAGAATTAGCAGAGATGGGATTGATTCCAAACCTGCCTTATTTACTTATAGACTTTCATGCATCTACTCATTCAGTACATGTATGCTGCTTACATTGCATTCAGTTAGCCATGAGAAAAGCATTTAATGTTTAGATACAAAACCGTCTTTTCCCTCATTTGAAAGTTCAAAGACTGAAATAAGTAGGCTCTCTGTCTTTGTAAGCAATGACATTAATAACATCATGTGTAATCACCACCAGTTTTAGTTGGTGATAGAATCATGATGGTAAATCTGTATCTTGATTTGCTTTTTTCAGAATGATGTAGGAGGACAACGCAGCCTGATAAACAAGTGGACGACTTTTCTTAAGGCCAGATTGATTTGCTCAATTCCTGGAAGTGATGGGGCAGATACTCATTTTGATGAGCTTCGTAAGTCCCATGTTTCATTTTTCTTAAAAAAAGTCTTATTGCCTAATTTATTAAGCATTTATTTTATTTTAGCCCCAAATGCCCAGTACATCTTGCAGGAGTGATTCTTACTAAATTTGCACAAGTCTGAGTGCCCACTGTAATGAAGAAATTCTTCTCTTTGTAAGCACCCTCAAAGTTAAGAGGGAACCTAAACTCTACAGCAAGAGACAGAAAGATACTAGCTCTGGTACTGCAGTGCCCATTCATTTGCCATGTAGTCTTTCCTTTTGGAAGGAGCCACTGTCTGTGTGTAGGTAGCAAGACCTTGGGTTCCTTATTCTGTGGTTGCCCCCTGCTGGCGAGCATGGGAGATTCGGTGAAGTCTGTCTCTCCAACTTGTTCATAAAAATACTCCGAGAAGCATTAGACAGCTTCTTTCTTTCATTCCCCCACTTTACTCCTCTCAAAGCTAATTCAAGGAGGAATGTTTTCAATTTCATGTAAGATTAACATTACTAGCTTTTATCTTTTTGAAGTTGTCTCTGTTGGAAATGTAAAATGGTTGTATCATTGATGATTCTGTCAGGATTGTATTTTGCAGTATTAAAGTATATATTCAGCATTCATGGATGATCTCTAATTTTGACTATAAGCATGCTCACGTCTTAAATAATCTTTAAAAATATTACACAGACTTTAGTATCAATGCTGCACAGGTAATTAGACAAGTAATTAACTTGTGCAGTTATTTTCATACTTTTACCAAATAAGTAATTGAATTACTAATAAATTGACATAATTACAACACTTTTGACACTGGTAGATAAAAATTACCTATGTTTTTCATTTCTATTCTATGTGAGATCACATACTCCTAGTTGGAAATAGTTATGGAGATTACGAAGCAAACCATTCCATTTACAGGTGATTGAAGTAAATACCTAAGAGGTTAAATGTCCAACCTCATGTCACACAGCTAGTAAGAAAACCAGTCTTTTACCCTTAATTTCTTATTTAGTAATGTAATGCCTTTCACTGTTATCTTCATTTTATATACTGTTTACAGTCTCAGAAATATTGTATTATTAAAGAAAAAAGCAAACTTGTAAACTCAAGAACTAAAAATATAGTGAATCATTATTTTTTCCCATTAATAGAAGATATTTACTTACTCCCCACAAGAGATGAAAGAAATCCCGTAGTATATGGAGTCTTTACCACAACCAGGTAAGTTTAAAAAATACTTGTAATTCTAGAGAATTGTTATGTATAAGTAAGAGACTACAGTTTTATGTTCTTTTGTCCCTTCCTTTCATGTGAAAAAAATACACATTTTTCATTTTTCTTTTCACCTACTGTTTCCTAGAAATCTTTTAATATCAATACATAAAATGTGTCTGTTCTTTTACCCCAGCAGAGTGTCCCCTATATCATTTGCCACTATTGATTCCCACAGTGCCCTGTACCTAGACGTTTCCATTGTTTCCAAGCCTTTGCTAGTACCCGTAATGCTTCAGTGACTAACCTTGTGCAAATGCCACCTCCTGTGCGAGCAGGTATATCTGTGAGCTAAATTCTCAGACTAAAATCACAAAGGCGTATGCATATACTCATCATAATAAATATACCGAATTGCGTGACAGAGAGGTAGTGCTAAAGCACTACATGTCTCAGTCTTTGGCTAAGCTGTCATCAAGACATGGGACACTCTTGACGTTTAAAATGTCATCACGTGCTGTCTTAGTTGCGCTTCCTCATCACCTTATGAAGATGGGAGTCTGGCTGCTATTATCACCATATCCTCCCTGCTCTACTAATAAAGGCAAAGGAAGTTTGCATGCTTGCCTTCAACAGAGGAGCCAGTTAGTAATAAAAATGGGACTAAAACTTAAGGTGTTTTCCTAATTGTTATGCTGCATTTTTTTCTTCTTTAGGCATAATACTGTCCTGTACTTGTCACTGAATCTCGGTGACTTCCTTAAAAGTTTTTCTTGCATCCATGAAACTTTCTTAACAACTACGTGAACCCTACTTAATCTTATTTAATATTAATTTTATTTAATTCAGTAAGTTACAGTGGACCGTGTTCAAAGTGCACCATTGTTCCTGCTACATATTGCTGCCTACAGTACATTCTTTGAAATACTTTGCACTTTTTCCACAGCTCTGCTATCAGTCTTTATCCATGTATACTTATATTAGTACTTTAGAAATTGGCAGTGTTACTGTTGGTGTTAGAGAAATGGTCTTACTACCTCCTTTTGATTAAATTATTAAAATATTTTTTTAGGTAAATTATAATTTCCTTTATGTGGCATTACCGTCATTTACATATACATTATACCTTATGTATAAACTCAAATCTACTGTTGGCTCAGAATATATCAGAAAACATCTGACTTGTTGGTTGATTATAAGATAGAACACGAGAACATTTAAATGTGAGATAAAGAAGATACTGTAAGAAGCTTCTATTTTCGACTCCATTTTTCTGCTAATTTATTCCTGAACTACAAGGTGCAGGAAGAGCAAGTGCCTGTAGTTACTCAAGTTAAGTATCTCAGCCCTAGTCTCTTGGCCTCTCTCCATTCACAGAACTGCCTTTGAAGTCACTGTGTGTTCCACACACAAGGCATAGCTATGTGCCAGGGAGATGTAACCCCAAGATAATTCTCTTTTCCTCTTACCAAGTTTCTGGCCACCCAGAGTGTGAAGTTACAAGTTAGTTCTTTGTTCTTGGTGCATTTTATTATCTTATTTTTATAGCTGCCTTGAAGACTGAGGTAATGTTGGGATGCATGTCACAGCCTTTGTCCAATGAGAAGATGTAATTAATCTGCAATAATAACAATGTCATTAAGCAAGATGCATCATCCTTTTAAAATATCATAGGCAGTTCATGCGATTTTTATGGGAACATCACCTTCCTTCTTAGCAGCTAGTTTTCTCCCAGACTCCTGTCTACTGTCAGCTCCCAATGTTTCCCATGAATGTCATCCCAAGACTATTAATGAGTGAGTTACCCCTGCTAAGAGAATTCCTAGCTCATTTGTGTAGCATTGAGATGATATATCTCAGGTTATAAAGGGTGATCTCGCTTTTAAGAACAGGAATCATTGAAAGTTTTAGACTCAGAGAAAATGTATTTTAATTTCCAGAAATAAATCAAATACAGAATATCTGATGGCTGTGTTAACAGTTTTTATCATTAGTTGGCAAAACTTTGTTAAATTCCCATGGAGCTTTTCTGCCTCTTAATTATATGTGCTCCAATCCTGTGTAATTATGATTAATTTTAAGCATCAGATAAGTTACATACATAAACTCAAATTCAACAAGGGGCAAAAAAAGATTGTTTTGAGACTTTTAAATTAATTAAACATTGTATGAGGAAATGAATTGCCAGTGTTTATGGTCACTCACTCACTTTAATAAAACAGACACATAATTATTAACTGCATGTCTAAATTATTCATTTTTTTAAAAAGTAGGCAATGCACTTTTTTACTTTATAATTTCTTTAGAAGGCATTCTGCTCTAATATTTTCAAATAAAATTTAAGGGCATGTGGATAAATATAATACTCTTTTCTACATATTTCTATCTTCCAATTTTTCTAGGAAATTCTTTTTTACCCATTAAGTGTCCATTTAGATGCCACTTACTCCCTGAAAACTTACCAGACAGCTCAGTATTGGGTACCCATTCACGTGCTCTTAGCTCACTGTACTTGCCTGTGATGTAACTGTTAATACACTTTATCCGGGATCACTTGGCTATAAGCTCCTTGAGATCATACCTACATTTTGTCTGCAGCTCCCATCATATTTGTGCTCAATAAGTGTCCAGTGAATGACCCAGCGCAGGACTGAATCATGTTGCTTTCTTTCAGCTCCATCTTCAAAGGCTCTGCCGTTTGTGTGTACAGCATGGCTGACATCCGAGCAGTTTTTAATGGCCCCTATGCTCATAAGGAAAGTGCAGACCATCGCTGGGTGCAGTATGAAGGAAGAATCCCTTATCCCCGACCTGGCACCGTATGTACCCAGCTTAATAAGGAAATAACTTTCTTAAGTCCCTATTCTCTTTCTAAATCTATTGTAATAAATTGTGTTCTTCAGCACAGCAACAAGTACTGTGGGTTTGTTGAATAACTTTTATTTATTTACAGTGATGTTTTAGCATTTCCATTCGTCACTGAAACTTAATATTTTTCTTTTGAGTAAGAATTTTAAGTAATACAGGTAACAGTGGACTCCATCCTAAAGTGCAGACTATGCTGAGAATATACTGTAGAGCTTTTTTATCCTAGCAAGTCTATGGAATCATCAAAATGACTTAGTATCTACAATGACAAATATTCTCAATTAGATGGAAATGCCAAATAGGTATTATTCCCCACACACAGCAATATATATGGCTAGAGTTCCCACTCCTACTCTTAAAAAAGTACATCGATTAAAAAGGTTCATTTAAATTATTTCGTTTCATGTTACACATTTATCTTTTTTTTTTTATGTTGTACCTTGGAATAATATGCATATTTTAGATGGGAAAATACTTAGAGAATCCTCGATACAAAATCCCATTCAAATACTATAAATCATGTTTAAAACACAAATGAAACAAGAAATGTGTTTTAGAGTTTATGCATCCGTTTTAAAAAAACATTGCAGTTTAAAATCAGTATGTGCATTATAAATGGAAGGCTTCTGTTTTATTGTTGATAAACAGTTTGTTATTTAAATATTTTAGGATTGGTTATTGAACCAATAATATTGTTCTAATTCAATATATTGAATATTAAATATTATATTGAACTGATATAAAGAAAATGCCTATTTTTAAATTTAGGATTCATTATAAATATTTCTACCAAGAGGTATAAATAATCATCAAAATCTCTGGGAAAAATTGTTGACTTAACCCTTCTAATTCTACTGAATTTTGCTTTTTCATATGTTCTTTCCTAAAGGGGAAACAGCTGGCAGCCAGGCTCTCTGAATTCTCTTTTCTTCTTCTTGTTATATAACCAAATTAAATTTGGGAAACACACTTTACTGCCATGTCTGTTTCTCCTTCACAATCCCTCAATGTAAATATGCTTCGGGGATGATTAAAAGATAATCACAACTTTTGTGGAAATAACTTTTTTGTAAATAATATGATATTCATGATTCCCTTTATTGTCTTTGTACATCAAAATCGTACTTGCTTGTCTTATTTTTATATTTAACAGTAATGTAGTGTGTAAGTACTCTTCTAAAGGTTTTACAAATCTTAACTTTCATAATGACTCTGTGAAGTAAGTGCTATTATTATTAATGCTACTCTACAGATGAGGAGTCTCAGGCACAGGCAGGTGCAGTAACTTGCCCAGAGTCACGAAGCCAGTGACTGGTGCAGCTGAGTTGTAAACCCAGATACTCAGGAGGCAGAGTCCACGCTCTTAGTCTTTGTACTGATACCATATTAAAAACTTGTGCTGTTAAAGTATATTTATTTTCCCTTTCCATGAAAGATATTTTACTGAATATACATTATACACAAGCATGTATATTATATGTAAGGAAAATGTTATGTATTTGGGGGTGTTAAGGAAGAGTATTAAAATTCAGAGGGAGCTCTGGCTGGGAAAGTTTTTTCATACTAGGATAGTCTAGTATCATAGACTATCACATTCTGAGCTGTTTCTACAGGAGTTTGTTTTCAATAATAAAGACTATGACTCTTCAGGCCGTTTACAAAAGTTTTTTTGTTTTTTCCTCAAATATGTCTTTATGGATTTCAGAGAGAGGAAAGGAGAGGGAGAGAGAGAGAGAGAAACATCAATGATGAGAGAGTCGTTGACCGGCTGCCTCGTGCACTCCCCTGACTGGGGATCGAGCCCGCAACCCTGGCATGTGCCCTGACCTGGAATCGAACCCCGATCTCCTGAATCCTAGGTCGACGCTCAACCACTGAGCCACGCCCGGCCACGCTACAAAAGTATTTTTAAGCCCTGGCCGGTGTGACTCAGTTGGTCCCATGCACCAGGAGCTCTCCAGTTTGAGTCCTGGTCAGGCACATGCCCAGGTTTCAGTCTTGACCCCCAGTAGGGCCATGCAGGAGGCAGCTGATTGACGTTTCTCTCTCTCTCCCTCTCTCCTCCTGTCTCTTTAAAGTCAATGAAAATGTATTTTACAAAGCATTTTTAATTACGCATTTGAATGCTACAGGAGAAAGAATTAGGGACATTAATTATGGAAAGTTATTTGCATACCTACATACAGCGGTTGATTATTATGATACAAAGAAATTGAAATGATCAAAATGATCACCCAGATTACATTGGGTTCCAGTTACAGTGTAGGTCAGAGGTGCTGCAGAGGTGGTCGCTGTCACCGCTTCCCTGCCCCAGCCTGAAAAGCTGTGAATGCCACATGAAGCGAAAAGACCATTCACATGTCGTGTCACTCTCTTCATACGGACACAGTCACTTCCCTGAAATGTGAATGTGTGACCCTCACATAGTAAAACATACACGTCAGTGAGGAGAGTTTTTCATCAGTGAGAAGAGAAGCGCCACATTATGGTAAACAAACCAGTCTGTGCTGCTGAGAACTTGAAATATAAGGTGTTCACAGAGTAGGTTGTTTTTCTTTTTTGAAGAATTTAAAATTGTCTACGGAGTAGCTGGTATCCACACTACCAAAGAAATATGTATGTTTCCTTTTATCAGTTTAAAAAAGGAAAACTATTATCAGGCATAAGGAAGTGCCATTTAACAGCATTATTCCTTGATCATTTCTAAACATCAGTATTTCTCATTGAATTCCTATACTTTTTAAAAATGTGTTAAACATATTTATGCCTGAAGCTGAGCTTTGAGAATTATGCCTATAAGTCATGTTTCATCCATAGCCCACTGTCAGGCTGCTGTTGGTGACGGAGACAGAGACGATGTCTCCCTCAGGAAAACAGCAGAACAGTGTTTGATCAGGCAGATTATGTCCTTATTTATAGAGCTTAGATTTTTAAAAATCATTCTAGTTACGATCGGAGGTTATGTATCTTGCTTTATAGTTTTGATTAAAAGGCTGGGGCAGAGTCTTTCTCATTGTTCTGAACTAAATTCAGATTATGTCTATGCCGATTTTAGATGGGGAGGAACCAAATAAGGCAGTTTAAAGAATTTATTTATATAAAACAAAAATACTGTGGTATTTTAAATTTATATTTTATTGGCTAATCTATTCTAATTGGTTTTGTGTGAGAATAGCGATGGCCCCTCCTCTAGAAAGCTCCAGTATCCAAAGGATATCAATTCTTAGTAACTAGTTATTTTCATATTCTCTTTGAAATCACTAGGACCAAATTGAAAATGTCTAAAATCATAAATAAATGTGTAACCTTTTGGCTTCATTACTTTAGTTATTTTAAAAAAATATTTTATTCTTTATTTGCATACAATTCTATTTAGTAGGATTTTCCACATACTATTTTATATTTTGGAGGGCTAGTGTTGAAGTTGTTAGGAGCATCATATATCTGATGTGAAAATCTGTTACACACATATACTTTTTATAAACTAACTTTACCATTTTAAATAATTCTGTATTCATAAAATCATTGAAATTATATTTCCCAGTGTAACAAGTAAATACCCTTGTAAGATTTTGAGAATCTAAGAACAGGAATGGGTGACCAAGACCACATCATCCCCCTCAGTTTACAGAGCAGGAAACTGATGCCTAGAATAGTTAAGTTTCCCAATGTTATATTGCTAAACAGCAGAACGAAGAAGAATGTTGGCGTTTCCTGACCAGTCTTCTCTCCTTTATTCTTTAATATTCTCTAATATTCACCTATTCCTGAATTCACCTGACTGGTACACCACTGTTTGCCCTCGCTAAAATTATGTCTGCACAGTTTTCTACATTCTCTCTCATATGTTTTTAAGCAGCCTAATTTCAATAATTTTTGTTTACATAAAGCTATGAATCTTTTTATTTTCTACAAACCTCCAGGTCAGAAATTGTAGTAAAAAAACCATTACTGAACATGCCTCAGGATCCAGACACAGTGATAAGGACTTACATGCTATCTCAGTACATCTTTACAACGACATAATAATGTAGATGTGTTACAGATAAGCAAAAGTCCAGTGAGGATAACTCATGCTCATGGCCTCACAGCTTATGAAGTGATGAGACTGTGATTAAACTCAGATCTAAGTAACTGCAAACCAAATGCTATTACCCTCCACGCCACTGTACCTTCATAGTAAATAAAAGTGACCAACCAAACAAAACCTGGCATTGTTTCCCCAGGGGTGGATGTGTTCTCTGCACAAATAATAATGAAGTTTTGAAGCCTTATTGCACTTGTCATTCCTTTTATTTTAATTGGGGGGAAACACATCAGACTTTAATAAAAGCATTGCTGAGTAATTTGCATTCTGTGAAATGTCAGAATCTTGACTGAAAGCCACTTTCTACTCAAGTGGAAAATTTTAAATAGATTATTACGAACCACCTTTGCTTTTACATTTTCTGCATCCATATTGCTGTCGGAGTTGAGTTCTTGCTGGTTCTCCCAGGAGTACCTTCTGTTGACATTACCACCCAGGTAAATAAATACTACAACTTTCAGGTGCCAGAGCTACTTTAGTTTTTTAGTTCTGACATAGTTATGTACTTCCTGTGACAAGTCAAACCTAAAAGCTTAGCATTGCAATGATATCACTACTCTGCAATGTCAATTAATAAGCCTGGAGACTTAAGGATACACTTACAGAATTCCTTCACTTCAAGGGATTCTTCTGCCCTCTGGTGTCCAAATGGCATGTCTGAACAAGCCGCATTTTGCTCAGATGGACTTTGGAAATCATTACTACACTGCGGGTCTTAGTAATAAGAAGCTCCAAGTGAAATGAAATATAGACTAATGTACGATACAGGGAGTGGTATAGGCCAGATGTGGAAATCAAACTGAGATCATGCCCAAAATAACAGGATGCTAGAAAACTCATAATCTGGGGAAGATTTTTAAAGGC